AAATCACATTTATCATTATTTCTTTTAGATACAAACGCAATTCAATGAAAGTCCTATCGATATTCGATCAATTTAATTTTTTGTAGATATGTTCTCCTCGATGTATCATAAAAAACGAACTGTTCTAATCATCAAAATGGGTCCCAAATCATGCAGCATAGTAATGGTTGTTATACCCCCCACATAGCAACCATTCCAATTCCCATTCATTTTTAATCAAAACATTTACTATTATCTTTGTAATTTCACAAATATCATTTACACATCATTCTGATGAATTTTATATTTACAAATCACTAGTAAAACTCTATCTTGAATACATTGACACTCTCTTTGTATTTCTCGCCATTCTCCCTTCATACTTTATATTCTTTTCAATTTTCTCTACTTTTTTTTTTCAAGTATTGTTTTTTTTATTTTTTATTTTGTATGTTTCTTTTAGGGTTCAATTTATTTTACCACCTTACGGTTTGGGGTTAGAGCACTTTATCCCCCCCCTATAGTTCAAATATAGTCATAAAGCCTCCATGTGGTTTTGTTCTAAAGTGTTACCATTAATTTTTTTTTCATCCAAACTAATAGAAAGTGTTATACACACCATTTTTTAGAGTGGGTTTGAATTTTTTAAAAATTAAAATAAAATTGATACAAAAAAGACAATTTTATCCCATTTTTCTCTAAATCTAAAATTAGATTAATATGTTAGTTAAAATAAAAAAAAGTTAAATTAAAATGCAATTAAGAATTGATGTAAAATATAAAATATAATTAAGAATTGATTTAAAATATAATTAAATAAAAGTATAAAATAAATAATAATTAAGAGTTGAACTCAGGTATAATTAAATTAATTACAATAAAAAGTTAGGAATTATAATAAATAATTAAGAATTTTAGGATTAATTGTGATCTAAAATATAATTAAATTAAAATTAGAATAAAAAGTTAAGAATTACAATAAATAATTTATAATTTAGAATTAATTGTGATTTAATTGAATTAATGTTAGACATTATAAAGTATGTGTATGAGAGCGGAGAAAGAAAGAAAATAACAAAAAAATATAGGTATGAGAGTACTACAGTCATTTTATATCTATAATTAACGGCATTAATGTTACACTTTAGTACAAAACCATATAGAGGTTTTCTGGTTACAATTGAACCGTGCCCTGGTCTTAAACCACAAGAAAGAAAATAAAATTAGTCTTTTCTTTTAATCTATTTTGTAATAAACAAAATTTTAGAACATATATTAATCAAAAGTAAAATATATTAATATTTATTTGTAATAAATATTAAGTTTAGTAACATCTAAGCTGTTGCTGATTATGAGGGCGGAAAATGTAGAAAATATTACCAGGCTGGAAGTAAGAAAATTATTTTCTAAATGTGGGGGTACAACTCTTGTTGTTCTTGTTGTTGTTGTTTTTTTTTTAACAGAAAAAGTTACACCCCATAATTTTATAATTATTTTTTTATCTTTCATGCTAATTTATAATTTTTCCAAAAATTTAAGAATTCAATTAAAAAGTGTCCCTATGTCAAATTCCAGATTCTGCAGTTTTCCCTATTCGGAGTCGAAATGTGGGACAGGGCGGTCGGAACTTTGAGCAATGGCGACCCCTATTCACTACTGTAACTAAAATGATGAGCACAAAAATCACAAGGGTAAATTATAAATATATTCTTTTAAAATTTATTTAAAATATAAATTATTTTTATAATTTTAAAAATTACATCTTGTCTTTGAAATTTTTAATTTTATAATAAATAATCTCTTCTATTAATAAATTATCAAATCAATTAATATTTTTTAATGATATTATAAATTTATTTTAATTAATAATTCAAATAATTTTATTATTATATAAGAGAGCAATTAAAAATTTTATTTTTTTAATTAATTTTGTACAATAAAAAATTCTAACATTCTAATAAGAGGATACATATAATTTTTCAAACCACATAAGACAATCTATATTTTAAATAAATCTCAAAAAATATATTTGTAATTAACCAAACATAATGAACACTAGTAGCTAACATGTAACGAAAATGACATACATCTAAACATATATGTATAATGAATCTCAGGCCGCGCCCAAATTATATGCCCAGCCCACAAAAATATGTAGAGAGCCTAAAAATCATGCTCAGACAGGTCCTACTAACTTATATCTCTCAATCCCAAAACCCTATTTGATTGGAGAATTTAAAAAAGATTTAGAAAGGAAATTAAAAAAAGTAAGTAAAATGCAAATAAAACATATCTACATTTCATCTAATTTCACACATTTTTTCTCTTTCCCTTTTCCTATCTTCTTTTTGCTAGCCCCTTCTTTGGTTTTTGTGAGTGAGAGTGTGTGTTGCTATTGTCGCCGAAGCTATTCAAAAGGTGCTTCTAATCTAGTTGGTTTCGACCGTTATATCTTGGGAGACAGATGCCGGCGTATCTCTAGCACCCATTGGTGAGACGGCGATTTTATTTTAAGAAAACTGTGTATACCACAGGTTTCGATTTGCACCCTTATCTTTTGTTCTTCAAAGTTTTAAATCTAAACTATTTCTTGTATATTATTTTGAATGTCTATGTTAATCCATCTTATAATATGTTCCATGATATAATCTACTTAATTCCTATATTTTTAGTTCTATAGTTTTTTCTGTATTTCATTATTTAATAATATGAGAAATTGTTTGTCATTTCTATTTAATTTAATTTTATATATTTTTCTACTATTGTTATGGAAAAATACAAATACTAAGTTTATATTAGGCCCATTGTTCAGTAGATTTTATTTTTGGAAATCAAGGGTGATCCTTGGTGCTTCCATTTTCAACATCATTTTCATGGAGTGAGCCAGAATTCAACTCATATGGGTGAAGAGAAAATGTTTTCATGATTTTGTTGATGCTGTATTGCCGAGAAACCGATGGCTTCGGGAGGCTCCTTCCTTTGTTGAGGTTTCGATTTGTACTTTTCAGGTCGTCGTGGTCGTCAAGGTCTTGCATTTCAATGGACGTTTTGACAAGGTGGGCTGATCCTGCTTCTTCTTCTTCTTCCATTTCATCTTTTGATTTTGCTGAGGATGATTTGTTCTTGTACACCAAATAGAGGATTAGTTGGGCCGAGCCCAATATAAATCCAATTGCATTTGGTACCTGAAGATTTTCCATCCTTTCATAAATATGTCACAGTCAAGAAAATCACTCCACTTTCTATTTAAAAATATAAATAAATAAATAATTGACACACGGACCAAAAAGTACCAAAAATTAAAAATAAAATAAAACTCAGACAATTTGGGAGGGGAAAAAATTAAATCTAAACCTTGAAAATTTACTGTGTTATTTTGTTTTGAAAGCAACTTTCTACCCGATATGTCAAATTTATTATTTTATTTTACAATGGGAAAGTTCTTCGAAATTGACAATATAACACTTTGGTCTTGTTTGGGAAGTTAACTATTTTAGCTGGTTATTTGATTATTTTTTGACTATTTTAGCTTGATTAAAATAGTTATGTTTGGAGCAAATTACAAATACACCTTTTGAGATTTACTTAAAATACGATGGTCCCATGTTGTTTGGAAAATTATAAATATCTCTCTGTCAGAATTTTTTATTTAACAGAATTAATTGAAAAAATGAAATTTTTAACTATTCACATATATGATATTAAATTATCTGAATTATTAATTGAAATAAAAATTTAACATTATTAAATACTATTAATTAACTTGATGATTTATTATTAAATCGATCTATTTTTTATGAAATTAGAAGCCTTAAGGGGCATAATGTAATTTCTAGAACCACAAGGGGTAATTTGTAATTTAAATAAACCTCAGGGGTGTGTTTGTAATTTACCCAAAAAATATATATGTATTAACTATAGCGGAGCATACCAGTTTCGAAAGCGGATTATAAATTTCAAAATTTAATCCATAGTTAGTGGATATATCAATGTGGATTGGTGCGATTTTGGTGGATTGGGTAGCGTTTTACACCGCCCTAATTACCTTATAAATATATTAAAAATTTTATAAAAATAAAGGTATTAAAATAACCAAAAAATTACATAAAGCCTAAGTTCTTAATGTATGTATTAATATATTATTGTATATAAATATGTATAATTTTTGGTATATATATAAATGTAATTATGTAAAAAGTCTTTTTTGGCACTAATTTCTTGAAATATGTGAATAAATCTATTATATATAAACCTTTGCAAAAACTAATAGTGGTAGTCAAATCTTTGGCAGCATTTAGTCCAAGAAGGTGGTCACGAGTTCGAAACTCCATCCCATTACATTTTGTTTAGCCTTAAAGCATGCCTTGCGGGTCATCTGTTTCTAAGGAACTGGCGCTGATTCAAGCAGTTGGGCGGTTTGGCAGTTTAATGGAGGGTTTCTTAGTAAATGTTTTTGGCGGGTTGACTGGACCAAAAAATGGACCGGTCAACAGTTCAATCTGGTGCGGTTTTCAAAACATTGACTCCAACTACCTAGGTTGGGAGCATGACCCAGGTGCCACGCTCGGGACCATTGGAGGACAGGATTAGAGAACTCAAAGATCATCCAGTCAGAGAGAGGGGCTTTGACCAATGCCTGACACCTCAATGGCTGCATCATACCTACCTTTGAGCTGCCCTAATACACCCAGAAATGGATGCATCATACCTACCCTTTGTCCACATATGATACATGCCTCAAGGCCGGCATCAGAGGTTGCAAAGTTTGACCTTGAATCCCTCCATTTTGCCTAGCCAAGGGGGTCACGCAACGTGTGCTCAGATGAGCTGGCATGCCACCCTATACAAAGGGGACCTCCAAGCAGGCCATATGTCCTCTACATTGCTCTCTGGTACTCCAGCTCTCCACTGCCACCCTCTCCCTCTTAAGGTTGTCCTTGCCTCTCCTCTCACACCTCTAGTTGTCACCAGCCATACCTGTGCCTGTCATCTTCCCAAAGGGAAATCCTCAACCAGCTCACCTGTCATCTCTCACAAGAAGAAACACTTACGAGGATAGCAAGAAGTGCTCAAAATGATATGGAGCAAGAGTCAACAAGCCTTTCCCCAAATGCACAAGACCTTGAGCAATTCGTACCTGCACAATAGACAACACATATCATTAAATCTCTAATAGAACACTTTAAAAAGGGAAGGAAAGCTGAGATGCACTATATGTAACTCCAAGAGAAGCTTACACAGAAGAGAAGCCTAGGTTCTTTGTAGTAATAACTCGAAAGATTGTGAAGCATGCCAGCTATTCTAGCGTTGTTGGTCCCGGAACCAATCAAACCTAAGGAGATGACGGCAGCCTGTAGAATCCAGACAAACATGACGAACTTTAGGCTGTAACTAACTAGAATTTGATAACAATAAGAATAATCATCATATTATATAAAAGTGAAAATACCATTGCTACTTCTATATCTGTATCGTGACTAATTCTGCTTAATGTGTCCATAACATTTACCTGGGTTAGAACATCCAAACATAAATTACTTGGCAATATTACCCATGGAAAGAAAGTATACAATCTTGCTCAACTGCAATTCAAACATTGTCAAGGTGCTCAGCTTGGCAAAAGATATCTAAGGAATTTTTTGTTATCGTAACATATCTAAGGATTGATTACCTTAGGGTTTGATATACAGAGGAGACCAAGAGCCAAAGGAACAGCCTTTCGGATATTCTGCTCTCCATACCGTAAAAGATGCTCTAAAGAGCGAATAGCCATTTCAAGACCCAATTCTTCAGCCATTGCTACCATAGCAATTCCAAGTACAGCCGGTCCCTGGTGGGTTTCTCCCCTCTTAAGATGTTGGGCACACTGACCCAGAAGGTATTGGACCTGTGTGAAAAAAGGACGGTCAGCTATTTTCATCAACATAACAGAGCGAACTCCAATTCAAATTGAAAGGCTTAGAGTAAACACCTTGAGCACATCCCCAGTCCCAGCATAAGCACAGGAAAATAGGGTCATGTAACAATGTTTCCTAATTTTTGTATTTAATGTTTTTGAAATCTCTGCAGTTGCCTCAACACCTTCCTGTTAAGAAACAGAATGGGATTTCAAAACCAAAAAATAAAAAATAAAAAAAATAAAAAGAGAGAAAAAAGAACGATAGAAATAAAAATTAAGTCCCAAATCTATAAGGTGCAATCTGTTGTCACCAAATAATAACATTTCAGAGGCAACACCAAAATAAAAAGGGAAAATATCATATAAATGGGAAATGGGGAAACTAATTGCAAATCAATGAAGTGCAAGTGACAGTTGTGTGTGCGTGTTTCTAGCTTGCTCTCCATTGATTTAAAAATGAACAAACTATGATACAGTACAAATAAAATTATAGAAAATTAATTAAAAACTTTCATAGCTTGTGATTTTAAGTTACCTGCTTCCCAAGATATAGAAGGCCAAGTCCAAGAGGCAAAAGACGAGTGAGGGGCTGCCCCAATTCAGACACACTTCGGTGTTTTAATGCAGATATAATTGTCTGAGAAACATCTTCATCACAGGAACCAACATACACCAAACCCAATGAAATTGCAGTAAATACAATCACATCCAGAGGCATTTTCTTATCTTCAAGGACACAAGACAATTTACTACGGATCTGACAAATAATGTATAATTAGTCACCTTCAATTGAAAATAAACATATCATACAAAGAAAGTGGACAAGCAAGTAAAGAAGTGATTTTGTATTCGAAGGATAGGAGACCATTTACTATGGATCTGAGAAACAGTGGATTAAACAACTTTAACCAAATTTCACATACAAAGAAAAGGAAATGAATAGATGCTTATCAAATTTCTCTCTCTCTCTCTCTCTCTCTCTCTCTCTCACACACACACACAGAGTTATATATAGTTTCAGACTTCCATAACCTAAAATCATCATTTTATGGAAAAATAAATAGAATAATTCTGTTGATGTGCCTCGTGAATCATAAATGGTGGGAAAAGGTGGCTCATGTCTACCACACATAGTATTATTTTCATGGGCTTCCAAATAGCGCCAAAAAGAACGAAAGAAAAAAAAAAAAATAGAAAAAAATAAGCAAGGAACCTCACTTGCGGACATTGGGCACCAGCATAAGCAAGGCCCAGACCCATTATTGCACCAATTTTGATAGAAGAATCTTCTTTATCTACATAATCAGCAAGAATTCGCAATGCCTGAAAAAAGAAAACTGAGATTTCAAATTACATATAACAATCATAGGTCTTTTTTGCAAAAAAACGTGACGTGGAACTCACGGGATCACATTCATGCTCGACACCGCAAGTCAAGATACCAACTCCTAACAATGCACCAGCAATGACATTCTTGTCATCACTGTGGAAATACTTATCAATTTGGGCAAGTCCAGAATCAACATCCCAGAGCAGAATCATACCCTACAATATGTGAAAACGATAATCCTGCAATAAAAGAATTTGCAACAACAAATCGACTGGTAGTAGAGAACACAATACCAGACTTGCTGCAGCACTGGCTTTTCCATGTGCTTTATTCTTAAAGACCCAGTTTCCAGAAGAACCACCACTTGAAGCTTCAGATGGAACTGTCATTAACTTGTCCTGTGACAATAAAACCAGTAAACAATACATGAACCTGCCCCCAAATATTTGCCTCTAAAATTTTCTATGTAGATGAACCACACTTTTACCTGACCAAAGCCAGCATTCACGAATGCATTAACAAATGTAGCTGCCAAGTTCTGGCTGGCTGAATTAACACTTGCACCAGCACTAGCCCGGCCATGGAGCAAATGTGCCTGGTTAAATAATACCAGGCTTAATGAAGAAAACAACTTAGGAATAACATGTGCTTAGAAATTCCTTTTAAAGATGCAACAATTATTTCAACTATCAATATCAAAGGTGATATCAAGAGCTAGTATGGATATCTTAGAAATCTCAACCTTATAAATATCCTCGGGAGATTTGGGCTCCATGACCTCTATATCACGAGCAAGCATAAGATAACCTTCACTTAACTTGCCATTGTTGGTAATTCCTTGCAATATCTCCCTGCATTCATCATCTCCAGACATCTCTTCATCGAGAACAAAAGTTATACGCTGTATGAAAGAAATTCAATGAGCAAACAACCATTTACATTCAATCAAAAAGGAAATTAACTAGATGTCTTGCAAAAAGCGTAAATAGTGCAATGCCCAACTTCTAATAAGACATCTGTTATCTTTACATATGCCTTTCTACTTGCCGTAATGGCTTTAACTGTGATTTAGGTGAGATGTTAGTGTGAGAATATATTGTATATATGGCATGTTGTGTATATATGGCATGATTGTGTAAATAGGAATTAGTTAGTATTTCCTTTTTCAGTCATGGATTTAGGGCTATATAAACTGATAAACTCTTTGTAAATTGACACAATTGAATATACAGAGTTATTTGGAATTCTTACATGGTATCAGAGCTGTGTGTGAAACCCTAGCTCTGCCTCTAAACGTTCGAATTCTTCTCTGGTTCGAAGTTTCGAAGTTCTTTCTGGTTCAAAGCTCTTTCTTCTCAATTTGTAGACTTCTCGTTCGTGGTTCTCTGGAGTCACGATTGTACCAGGCTCGCAATTAGCATCTGGTCTCATTAGAATCGCGATCTACCCAGTGTCGCGATCGTGAACCCATCTCTATTTTAGTCGTTGTTCCACGCCTCCCAGGATTTCTCTCTCAGTCGTGACCTATCTGCTTCGAATTGCAGCTCGTCATCTTCAATTCGCGATCCATCTGAGATTGGATCTAGTTCGTTTTCTTTGTCTGGTCATCTGCTTCATCTCTGTGGTCTTGATGATTATGCCTTCTGCCATCAAAGAGGTCGTTGGAAGTACCATTGTCCCAAGAAGGGACGATTGTCTGCCCCGTATTTTCAGCAGTCTCAGAACCAGTTCCATGCATCTCCTACCTCTTATACTACATTTGCTCCTGCTATTGAACCTGATTTGGCTTCCTTGAGTGCTCAGATTGGTCAGCTTCAACATATACCGTTTGCCTCCATTGTTTCCTCTCTTCATTCAAGTTTGCTTAGGTCTTCTTCAGGTATTTCTTCGCCTGTCTGGATTTTTGACTCTGATGCCTCTCATCATATGACTCCCCATCTCCACTTACTTTAGAATTGTACTCCTCCCTTTCCTATTACTGTCAATGTTGCTAATGGGTCTGGTATGTCTGTTATATCTGTTGGGTCTGTCCTACCATCTGCTATGTCTGCTGTCTCTATTCCATCTGTCTTTTATGTTCTTCAGTTATCTGCCAGTTTATTATCTATCAGTCAGCTTGATACCTCTGGTTTTGATATTATCTTTTTTTCTTCTATTTGTTCTGTGCAGGATCCGATGTCTAAGCAGCAGATTGGGACTGGCCGTAGAATTAGAGACCTCTATGTGGTGAAAAGCTTGCATCTGCCTATGACTAACTCTTTGACTGCCTTTTCTTCTTTTCAGTTAGATTCTCTGTCCAGTCTTTTCTATTTGTGGCATTCCAGATTAAGGCATTTGTCTACTGACCACTTACGGTCCTTAGCTCAGTCAGGTATTTTGGGTAAAGTTTCTCCTAGTCAACTTACCGAGTATCGAGGGTGTAAACTTGGGGCCCTTCTCCTGTTCTCACCAAAGGGGTTCTACATACTATGTGTCATTTGTTGATGATTGCACCCGTTACACTTGGGTTTATCTTATAACTCATAAGTCCGATTTCTATCAGATATACCGTACCTTTTAGTGTATGATTACTACTTAGTTTGGGTCTACCATTAAAGTGTTACGGTCTGACTTGGGTGGGGAATATTTTAAAAATGAATTCTGTGAGTATTTAGCCAAGTTGGGTACCATTCACCAAACTTCTTGTACAGATACACTTGCCCAAAATGGTCGAGCCGAGCATAAACACCGTCATCTCCTTGAGACAGCTAGGTCTCTTCTTCTCTATGCCTCAGTTCTGGCTCCATTATGGAGGGAGGCAGTTCTTGCTGTTGTTTTTCTTCTCAACCGCATGCCTACCCCCCTTCTTTCTAGTCGGTCTCCTTATGAGACTTTGTTCTCCCAAATTCCTAACTACTCCCTTCTTTGTGTGTTTGGGTCTGCCTGTTTTGTCCTTCTTCCTCGCAAAGATAGGACCAAATTTAGTACCCGGTCTGTCCTCTGTGTCTTTTTAGGTTACAGTTTTACTCAGAAAGGCTACTGCTGTTATGATCCTATCTCTCATCACCTTTATGTCTCCCGTCATGTTGCCTTTCTCAAACGTCTACCTTACTTTCAGCTTTCTCCTCTCACTGCTCCAGTTTCTAAAGAGGATTTGGTTCACATCGACCCCTTTCCTTCTGAGGTCCCGTCTGATGAGTACATCTCCACTGTTCCTCTAAAGCCCATTCCTACTTCTCCATCTGTGTCACCTATGGCTCCTTCTCTTCCTTCGACTTCTTCTTCCCCTCCATTGTTGGTCTCTTCTCGTCACCATGCTCCTCCACCACCAGTTGTCTCCACTCCTATTGCTTCTCCTTCTGCTTCTGACGACTCTGATCCTGTTGCACACCGATATCCTACTAATGAGCGTCATCCTCCAAACAGGTTGGGTTGGTCTAATACATATTTTTCTGTTTCCTATCGTATCTTTTTGTCTGTTATTCACTCTTTTTCAGAACCACAGTCTTACACAGAGGCCTGTCAGGATCTTAATTGGGTTCAAGCTATGGAGACTGAGTTGTTTGCCTTACAAAAGATTAACACTTGGGAGTTGGTTCCTTTGCCTGCTGGCAAGAATCTGGTTGGTTGCAAATGGGTCTATCAAGTCAAGACTCATTCTGATGGTTCTCTCGAGCCCTACAAAGCTCGCTTGGTTGCCAAGGGTTTCTCACAGGAGTATGGTATTGATTATGAGGAGACATTTGCCCCTGTTGCCAAGATGACTACTGTTCGTACCTTGATTTTTGTTGCTGCTGTTCGACGTTGGCCTCTCTATCAGATGGACGTTAAGAATGCTTTTCTTAACAATCATCTCACTGAGGAGGTCTACATGCGTCCTCCCCTTGGTCTTCTCTACTCTTCTGGGCAGGTTTGTCATCTTCAGCGTGCTCTGTATGTTTTGAAGCTGTCTCCTCGTGCTTGGTATGATTGCTTTCAAACTGCCATTACCGAGCTTGGGTTTCATCCTTCTGCTTCCGACTCTGCTTTGTTTCTGAGATATACCTTGACTGGTTTTGTTGCTCTCTTACTCTATGTGGATGATATGATCATCACTGGCTCTGATTCTTCTGCTATGTCTGAGGTCAGGCAACATCTCTTCCGCTCCTTTGAAATGAAGGATCTGGGTCCATTGCGGTATTTTCTTGATATTGAGGTTGCCTCTTCTCCAAAGGGCTATTTTCCGTCTCAGGCCAAGTATGCTAATGAGGTTATTCACCGTGCCAGTCTTACTGATACTAAGGTTTCTGATACACCTATTGAGCTTAATGTGAAGCTCAACTCTACTGATAGTGTCCCTCTGGATGATCCCACGTTATATCGAGAGCTCGTGGGTTGCTTCATCAATTTGACGGTTACTCGTCCTGATCTTGCCTATGCTGTTCATGTGGTTAGCCAGTTTGTCTCTGCTCCTCGCTCTACCCAAGGATTGCTTTGGTTCGGATTCTTCGCTATCTCCGAGGCATTATATTTCAGGGTTTACAGTTGTCTTCTACTTCCTCTTTGGAGTTGGTGGCTTATACTGATTCGGATTGGGCTAGTGATGTCACTGATCGCAAGTCCACTTCTGGCTTCTGCATGTTTCTTAATGATTCTTTGATCTCTTGGAAGGCAAATAAACAGACTGTTGTTGCGCGTTCCACTGCCGAGGTTGAGTACCGTGCTATGGCTCATGCCACTGCTGAGATTGTTTGGCTTCGTTGTCTCTTGACTGAGGTGGGTGTACCTCAGTCTTCTCCAACCTCTCTCTATTGTGACAACCGCAGTGCTATTTAGATTGCCCACAATACTGTCTTCCATGAACGGACGAAACACATTGAGATTGATTGTCACTTTGTCCGACAGCATTTGCAGTCTAGCTCTATCTCGCTTCCTTTCGTCTCCTCGACTTTGCAACTTGCGGACTTCTTCACCAAGACTCATACTACCGCTCGGTTTCAGTTTCTTCTTAGCAAACTCTTAGTATTTTGTGCTATAACACCTTGAGTTTGAGCGGGGGTGTGGGAATATATTGCATATATGGCATGTTGTGTATATATGGCATGATTGTGTAAATAGGAATTAGTTAGTATTTCCTTTTTCAGTCATAGATTTAGGGCTATATAAACTGATGAACTCTTTGTAAATTGACACAATTGAATATACAGAGTTATTTGGAATTCTTACAGTTAGCTCCTAACCAAGCACCTAACTTTACAGATTTTGCGTGTATCATGCAACCTATCTTTTTTTTTTTCTTTTTTTTTTTAGGCATGTATTACACACCCTATCGATACAATAACTTTACGATCAATATCCCACCCAAAAAGAATAAAAAAAAAGATGGCATGCCAGATTATTTCAAAGCAAGGGACAAGACTCCATATTGAAATATCATGTCTAATGAAGAGGTCATGAAGCACATTATTACGTGACTAGAGTCTACAACACCTCATACTGCAACAATCAAGCTGAAATTTAAGAACAGGGAAAGATACCATGTCCATGAATAAACGAGTAGCTTATAGTATTTTCCTGGGAGAGGCAAATCTTGAGAGTTACAGCCAAGAAGAAATCAAAATGGATACACGATGCATTAAGGAAATATATGAGTTCTACAAATCTTGAGTTTGAGCGGGGGTGTGAGAATATATTGTATATATGGCATGTTGTGTATATATGGCATGATTGTGTAAATAGGAATTAGTTAGTATTTTCTTTTTCAGTCATAGATTTAGGGCTATATAAACTGATGAACTCTTTGTAAATTGACACAATTGAATATACAGAGTTATTTGGAATTCTTACAGTTAGCTCCTAACCAAGCACCTAACTTTACAGATTTTGCGTGTATCATGCAACCAATCTTTCTTTTTTTTTTTTATAGGCATGCATTACACACCCTATCTATACAATAACTTTACGATCAATATCCCACCCAAAAAGAATAAAAAAAAAGATGGCATGCCAGATTATTTCAAAGCAAGGGACAAGACTCCATATTGAAATATCATGTCTAACGGAGAGGTCATGAAGCACATTATTACATGACTAGAGTCTACAACACCTCATACTGCAACAATCAAGCTGAAATTTAAGAACAGGGAAAGATACCATGTCCATGAATAAACTAGTAGCTTATAGTATTTTCCTGGGAGAGGCAATCTTGAGAGTTACAGCCAAGAAGAAATCAAAATGGATACACGATGCATTAAGGAAATATATGAGTTCTACAAATCTTGAACCCACCACTATTATAATATTGGGAAATGAAACAACAAAAGAAAGATTAAAATGGATAACAAGATTCCAAAGAAAGAGAGAAAGAGAGAGAGAGGGAATAGCACAAGTTAGAAAAACAAGACTTACATGTTGACCAAGAATGTAACAAAATTGCTTCTTTAATAGAAGATCATCACAAGCTGTAAAAATCTGATGCACATACTGCCAATAAATAAACAGTGTTAAATAAACAGAAAAGTGGGCAGCAAGAAGACCATCTGACCATTCTATCTCATTTTCCTGAAATGTGAAGGTATAATAGTTATCCAGTCATTATCAACAAAACTTAAAATCTCAAATATAAAATTTGTATAAGTGTCATAGAGGGAGAATAAAATATTTGATGTGCCTAATTAAGTGCAAACCTGCAAGTTGTCAAGGAATAGAGCAATCTGAAGTGCACTTGGGTACTCTTCAAATTTTAGATAAATCGCAAACACAAGTAGAACTGGCAAATCATCTGGATCAGGAATGTATCTGCAAGATGTTGAAATGCTAAATGCCAGAATACATGTGTTTTTGTCGTGCGACAGAAAGCTGCAAGGCTACAGTGCTTAGCAAAACCACAATACCATGAGGCACATAAATAAATAGCAATTTGGCCCCCTAAAGAATTTCCGTTATTTGAATGTCATCTTCCAATCAAAGAACAGAAAACTGAAGGCTACATTTCTGTTCTCTAAATTTCATCACGTAGAAAAATAAAAAATGTCATGTTACATGTAAGAGTAGCATGCATCAAATACACACACATATATGAAGCACCTTTTCCAATAATCTGCACAGAGAGAGAGAGTAGACAAAGTCAATATAGTTATGTGCTTGGCAGGGCTCCCTCTTATTAGCCATCAATAGAGATGCAACTACATCAACCTGCCACTCCCCAAGTGATATATTAACTTTTCCGAATATGGGACCCAAACATAAGTTTTCCATCCCACCCCATCCCCCAGCTTCCAATCTTTCCCCAAACAACTCAATAACTCCTAAGACAATGCTTAAATTGTTGCTCCAAAAGAAAAAATACAAGTATGTTGCTTTATCTGTCACTGTAATATATGTACATGAGCATGTCTGATTATAAGATACTCAAACTCACTTAAATTCATCGCCTACATTTGCAGTAAAATCATTTATTAAATCATAAAATTAATTTAGAATTAGAAATTTAAGTTATTTAGATAATCTAAACCTTCTTGAACTTGTAGCAAACTACAATGCAAAACTTTGAGAATCAGTTAAAACAAAATGTTAATCAACTGCTCATTGCTCAAACCACACAGATATCAGGAAATAGACTGCCAATTAAATTTAGGGTTATTTACACGAAGACCCCCCAAACTATTGAGAGAAGTATCACTTTGACCCCTTAAACTATAAAAACGTACAATGGACGCCTTAAACTATTGAGAAATATCACTTTGTCCCCTAAACTATAAAAGCGTACATATGGACCCCTAAACTATAAAAGCGTATAAATTGGACTCCCTAACGGACGGATCAAAATCAAATACACCAATAGTTTAAGGTGTGCATTTGTACGCTTTTATAGTTTAGGGGGCAAAGTGATACTTCTCTATAGTTTAGAGGGTCTATTTGTACGGTTTTAAAATTCAGGATGTCAAAGTAATACTTTTTAATCGTTTGAGGGGTATCTGTGTAAATAACCCTTAAAATTTATTTTGTGCATCACAATGGTCTACGATTTTGATAGGATTCAAATTTCGAATTCTAATCTAAAAAGAAAAAATCCTTATAGCAACTCAATACATAATTTAGATACCAAAACAAAAGGCATACAAAAGACAAATAAACGTTCAGTCCTGCAAACTCAAAAGTTAAATTAAGATTCTCAGGATTCACTAACCTAGCTGCACTGATGAGGTACAGGCATGTCCTTTTATAGTTTGTACTGTCCACGAGCTCCAGTACCAAATAAAGGTCTTCAACCTGGAATAATTCAAGATATCTTTTACATGCAATATTTTTAAGGAACGTGAGAAAAATGACAACAGATAATACCTGCATCAGAAGATCTACAGCCTCAAATTCCGCATTGTGCTGTAAGGAAGATACAAAAAAGGCTAGAAATAAATCCCCATGAAATGTTGTCCCAAGCTATATTTTGATTTGCCGTTCAAGCAAAAAAAAAAAAGGCCTCTATTTTGACTAAATACATTGAAACAAATTCACATAACATGTCAACCTGGGAAGCACGTACTGGTATGTTATGGGTAGACTAAAAAAAAAAAAACTTTAAAAAATAGGATATGGGTATTGCTAGGGTACAATGATAAAAAAGTATAATTTGTAATAGTGCATGATATTAGAAAATTAAATACAAAAAATAATTAAAGTCACAAATAGAAAATATAAAACAACAGAAGATAGAAGAAAAAACTGAGAAGAAGATGGGTACTCCAAGAGAGAGGGTTGTTGAAAAAAAACAGGGAAGAAGATGGAGAGAGGGAGAGTCGGAGAGAAGAGAAAGCCAAAAAAGAATGTGAGTTTTTTTTCCAAATATTTGATAATTGCAAAAATACACTATTTTTTATTTTAAAAAAACAAAAAACAATATAATTGTTCCAATACCCCTATATTTTTTAAATATTACATTTATATCTCAACATATCCACAAAAATTCCCAAAATGTATCTATTTCATAACTGAGGGTTGTTTTGGAAACTACCTATTTTAGTTGGTCTTCTAACTTTTTACAAAAAGACGTACAGAAAAATAAAGAAAATAGTTAACTTTTTGGTAGTGACTTTTTTCACTTTTTGGCTATTTGAGGTGGTTCCCAAACTTGGCCCAAGCTGTATTCATCCCACACCCGAGCCATACCCATCCTTTACCCTAGCTATACCCAACATTCAAAAAGTATTAGATTAAGTATTTCAGGTACCCAGTACGCGTGCAACCTTACCAGTATGCATACCCATACCAAGTATGCACCTTGTACTTGTACAACAACATTTTTGGAGTGTCAATGCTTCATAGATGTCAACCCTGTCTCCTAGTAACAAAGAGGAGAACCACTCAAAAATTGTTAATTGAGTCATTACCTCCATGAGAAAAGCAACAATTTGTTCTACAAGCTCCATTAGATCATCAACAGACAAGTCTTCACTCTGAAATGATTTATGCAAATGAGGAAATATACTTAATAAAACAAAAGGGATACAACATAATTACCCCATTAATGTAATACATGTGCCACCGTAAAAAGGACAAAAAGGCCAAATTTCGCACTTGTGTAACTGAATGAGTTATTATTATGTTCAAGACAGTGCCCCCCATAAATGTCAAAAGCATGAATATTAACAGTATAACAGTAAACATGATAATATATTTAAACATACAAGACCTTGCATGATTACACAGTAAAAGCAAATAAAAGATATATTTATATATACTTAGTAGTAAGTAAGCCAACGAGAAAACCTCTTATAATATTTTTTTTAATAAGTAGAATTCTTATAACGATTCAAAAGATAGGAATCATAACCTGTCGCTTCATATACTCTTCTACTATTTCTCCAGCTAAGTTCCTATCACAAACAAGTTACGCACTGATGAGGGTTAATAGAAATGAAAATTCAACAACAACAAAGTAAAATAATGAAGGTGGTAGGACTCATAAATAAAAAATAATAATAATAATAATAATAATAATAATAATAATAATTCCTTGTAATATGACCATGACATTAAAATAATACAATGTACATGTGCCGCAACATTACCAATATTATACAAAAAATTAATATAACATCCTGTTTATCACAACCATGTATAATAATCAAAATAATATAGGGAAAAAAGTTTAAGAAGACTAAGGCCAAGTTTGGCAAGTCCATAAAAAGTCAAAAAGTCAAAAAGTTACTCAAAAAGTTAAAAAGTTAACACTATTCACCAAAAGTCAACAATTACGGCTGCACAATTCCCAATCCTAATTTTCCCCTACACTCTAATTTATACAATTTTTTAATACACATTTTTCCATAAAAAGTTAAAAAGTTAACCCAAACATCCATATTTTTTTTCTCAATTTTTTAGTTCAAAAAGACAAAAAGTGCACTTATTTAGGACACCCCAAACAACCCCTAAAAATGTTGCTTCTTGAATGCGACTAACACTACAAAACAAATAATCCAAACTAGGTCACCCCCAGGGGCGGCTCCAAGGCTTGGCCAAGGGTGTCACCCGAACCCCCTGGCTGAATTTTTATTATTATTATTATAATATAAATATTAGATTTTAGGAAAAAAATTAGTAATTGAACCCACTAAAACACAACTTTGAACCCATAGTATTAAATCCTACTTTTTTGAACCCACTATTTGATAGTGTTGATAATAAGCTTATTATGCAACGATTTCAAAATATGAAATCTCGTCGTGGTCAATTGTAGAAGCTCGTATATTAGCATGTCTTTTTGCTTAAATAATAGTATCAATATATTGAAATATTTTTGTTTATAATTTTAGAATTTAAATTAATTTGTTGATTTTTTTCTCCATATGTAATATAATGATTAATGTGAATTTTCTGTAAGATATATGGTATTTAAGTTTTTGATTGACACTACTGACAAAAATTCCTGGAGTCGCCACTGGTCACCCCTAAGATTAGAAGTCAAAATACTTTTGTTCAAGACAAGTCACAATGTGCAAGGCCGTGGAGATAAAAGCCTTTTAAATAAATAAACAAAATTAAATAGTTTGATATGCCAATACCCATCTGGGTTGAAAGGAAGTTGTGGTTTTTAGAGGGCCTTTCAAATTAGAACATAAATTAAAATTAATTAGTGAAAAATAAACAAATTATATTTAATGTGTCCTAGACCACATTAATGTAAGTACCAAGCCAATCAACATCATGCCCTAAAACAAAAAAAATTAGTTTCATTATACTCCACACCACAAAGTAGGCCACCGTAAAATTTGAGACAAAATAAAATATCTAACAAATCAACAAAACAAGCAACGAATATTAACTGATAACCTTTTAATATGTAGTTTGATGATGCTCACCTCACATATTCATGGCCCCATGAAACTGTATCACCTTCAGAGCCCAACAACCTGTACTTTAAGCTCTCCTAAAATAATTGACATAAGAATGGAAATATCATATATACTTCAGCACAACACAAAACCTAGAACTCAACAATATATAGACACACTTCAGCACAAACATCCAACATTCTATATCAAGTAAATTTGTTATTATCATAATACGCAAGTTGTCCAAGTATCATAAATATAAAATGTCAAAACCATATATTGATTACCGCATATGGGAGAATAGAGGATAATTGCATGGCCAAAAAGTTGCCTCACAGAACCAAGTAAGCTAATGTCACAACAGAGTGATATTAAGAATGCATAATGAAATGTAAAACGTAAAATAATTCAGCATACCCGTTCTCCTTCCGCAGACATGGTCATGGCCAAAACTGAAAGTACATCTGCTAGTAAATACTGCGTTAAAAGGAAAATGTGAATCAGATAGGTCACAGTATGCAAAAATGAATAACGGAAGGGCCCATCCCAACAGTTTGATACCTTCAGATCCGAATCTGCCATTGTATCATAGTATGCTTTTAGAGTTCCGTAATGAGGACGCAAAAACTTTAATGGCTTTGGAACTGAAGTCATAGAGCTGGTTGAGGTCAGTATCTCCTGCCTGAAAGGCAAAGGTTTAGTTGCACTATCAAACCAAATTGTATTTGTATGAATGATTACAGGTCTGTTTGGCCTTTTTTTTGCTTCCTATTTTCATTTTCCGGAAAACACAGCCATGCGAGAAACTCCATTCACACATTAGTTAGCTGCAGACTGTCATGAAGTAAAACATCTATCAAACATGCTGAAAGTTAAAAAACAGCTAAATATTAGACTTAAACATGCAGACAATTTTGGCACAAGTTATTTGCTAGTAGGTGTACCACTCCAATCGATTTACTGAGCAATGCAACAATCATCTAGACACAGTTCCAGTGCAAATGACAAATGTCGGGGAAAATAATAATAAAAAAAAACACTGAAATTGACATATAGAATGTTACTGAATTACATTAAAAGATTATATTCTTTTATAAATACATGCATTGCCTATAGAATGTTATTGACAATACCTGTAACAGTTTCTTTTACACAGAAAAAAAATTCAAAACTGAAATTGTTAAAATCCTATTTAAGATCCTGATTGTGTCACAAAAAATATTAAATGGATTATTGATATCATCAATTAGGGACTAAACTAAGTGTAGTTTTTTAGTGATATTATATCGATTGAAAAATGTTAGAAAATAATTATTACAAAAATTTAATTAATAAATTTTGCTTCTCAAAAAGTTAGAAAAGTGAACTTACATGAAAAAAATTTACAAATTGAAAATTAAGAAATAGTCATTTAAATTAATATTTCATTATCAAAAGACCTTAATTTGAGAGCTCACCTAAGGCCCCAAAAATGGTTGTGCTACCATTGAATTAAAGATTATGGTCCACTCATGATTCTACATGCATTTTATATGCTAACCCTATTTGATCATTTGTAAATATCCTAAAATTCAATTAGCATTGACCTCATTTTTCAGTGAGTTCCCGATCATAACTGTAGTTACTCACAAAGTGCACTGCGTAAGCTGAAAGCAAATAAACAATAAATTCTATCTCATTACAACAAATACTTTTAACTATTCCATGGTGATCTATAGTGATTCCAATATTGTGATTTGCTGAACAAAACCATAATGAACCTAAGATATAGGCAGACAAAATGGAAAAATACTTAACAATTAAGGGAAACCTCACAAATTGTTATCTAATAAAAGCTAGCTTTGCTACACCACAAATTGAATTAGGGAAACCTCACAAATGGTAGTCCTGAATTCCAATGGCTCAATTTGTTGAGTGAGAAGATATAATAAGTTCCAACACTCAGTACCACAGATCATAACTATTCTTACAGCAAAAGGTATTCAGCTTTGCAGAACAAATACACGTCCTGAGGTTTGCTTAAACTACAAATTGTCCCTTTTGGTTCTGGAAATTACAAATACCCTTTGTTAGAATTTGTCAATTAACAAAGTTGACTCAAAAAATGAAATTCCTAATTATCCTTATAATACAACAATGAAAGTACCAAAATTGTTAATTGAAATATATATTGCGGAAATTATTAAAATTGTTAATTGACTTAACAGTTAATTAGTGAAAGGAGTTATTTATTATGTGATCAGAAATTTTAAGGGCAGAATGTAATTTCTAGAATCACAAAAACAATTAACTATGTTTGGTTCCAACAAATTGACTCTACTTTTCAGAAAATTGATTTTTTTGTATTTCATGTTTTTTTATTTTTAGTGAATTTTTTTAATATTTTATGCAAATTTTTTATTTTTGGATTCACCTAATAGAAAAACGCTGAAATATGCTTAAAAAGTAAAATATTTGTGAAAATTATTTTCAAAAAATTTACCAAATACAAAAAATACAAAAAAAAAAAATTACGAAAATTCAATGCATTTTTTGTATTTTGTTATATTCAGTAAATTTTTTAAAGATTTTGGTACAATTTTTTTATTTTTTTAAGTATATTAAGATTGAAATTTTAAAAAAATTCATTAAATATTTTCAAAAAACTTAAAAATATAAAAATACGACTCAGAAAATTGTTTTTGAAAACTATAAATCAATTTTTAAGTAAACCTCAGGGGTTATTTGGAATTTACCCAACAAATTAATACCAAAGTTCCCTTGCTAAGTTTTCAATTTGTCAATCTCTCTAAACTACAAAATTGAACCAAATAGTGTTTCTAGCATGAGCATCATTATCAAGCTCATTAGAGTCTTCTCTTGGCTATTTTATAGCAGACAACCATAGAAACACACTCCATCAAACTCAATTATTGAATAACCAGTTTAGTTTAATATCAAACCACTAGCTGTATATAGGTAGAGAAAGAGGACTACACAAATGAAATAAAGAATAGAGAGTTTGTTAGAGAATGTATTAGAAAATATTAAAATAGAAAATAGACTTTCAGTTCAAATTTAACTAAAAATTTGAATATTTTGATGGAGATGCTAATAGCCACACAGTTAATAGCATATAGTATGACAAATAAGGCAACATTGCATTATTTTTGGAAAACACATTAAATTCACAAATACTGTGACTCTACCTCATACTCTGAAGGGCAGCCTCCTGTAAATCTGCATCGGAGTCCTGAATCCTCTCCACATACAACTCCAATTGCTTCTTCAAAGCCAAATCCTCCTCTGACTGCACATTCACAGAGCCAAATGAGATTAAAATTTTGAAAAACTAAACAACATTGTTTCCTATCAGCAACCAAACATTGCATTGAACTTACAAGATCTTCGTCCTTCATCTCATTCTTCTTCTTCGGGACTATCACCGCATTGTTTGGATCACGAGCCATGATGACTGAGAGATTCGAAATTATAGAACGCACGTAGTTCTATCGCAGATTTTGCGAGACCTCAATGGAATTTTCTTCGATATCTAGAGATTATCGAAGCTAAACCCTACGCACAGAGGTTTTCGTTTTATGCGAGTTCGCTCTTGGGTCCTTTCAGTGCTGGAAAATGATACTGTGCAAAATGACTTGTACAAGAGCATTTCCACCAAACCTTCCAAATTTGGCGTGGGAAATGTTTTTAAATAGGTGACAAATTGATATATGTCAATTTGATATAGATTTTTTTTTTTTTTTTTTTTTTCTTTTTTCTTTTTTTTTTTTTTGTGTATGTTAAATTTATTATTTAAAAAAAAAATTGGTGATAATATCAATTTTTTATTGGATATGTTAAATTTATTATTTATCATTTTTAAAAAAATTAGTGATAAATCAAATCTAAGGGAGTAAGGCATTAAATTCAGTGAATATTTTTTGTTGGCAAGAAATTCACGCTTTGTGAAATAGTTTGGTGGAAAGTCGTGAAAGATATTTTGTTTTCAAATTTATTCCTTAACTTTTTTTATCTGTTTGACTTTTTGTTGACTATCTGTTCAAATTTTTTGTCTATCGGTTTAAATTTATATTTATCTGTTCAAATTTTTTGATTATTTGTTCAATTTTCTCCCCTATTTGTTCAATTTTTCTTCTAAATTTTATCTATCTATTTAATTTTTTCCTTAAAATTCTATTTATTTGTTCAATTTTCTATATTTCTGTTCAATATTTTTCCCTAAATTCTATGTATTTGTTCAAATTTTTTTATATCAATTGAAAATTTGCTTTAAGTTTATTATCTGTTCAATTATTTTTTCCTATCTGTGGAAATTCAAACTGAGTATTCCCTATCTGTTGAATTTCACAAGCCTATTTTTTTCTTGTCCGTTTATTTTTTTATCTGTTCAAATTGTGATATATATATATATATAGTCTCTCCCTTCTCTTTTGTTCTTTTTCCCTATCTGTTGAAACTTTCTACCACTATCACTCAAATATATCTAGTACATACATACACACACACACACATATCTGTTTAAATTTTTATTTTTTATCTATTCATTCACCAAAATGGATAGATTCTCCTCTTCATCTTCTATCTCTCTTACTTGTCCAAAAAAGAAAAAAATTATAAGTTGTTTCATTACCATCAATAACAGCAACTACAAAACACATACACACAAAATAGTTTCTTTGCTAGATAGACCATATTGCTAAATTTGTGAAAGTGGTTTATAATAATCAAATATGGTAGAGACTTGATGAAACTAGGAGCTTTAACTACAAACAAAAACAAAACAAGAGTTCCATCCATGTTGACTATTCTCTCCCACACCCCCAACCAATACAGAGAATATAAAACAAAAACAAAAAGCAAACAACAAAAAAATCAAAACAAAAACAACTTCAACCACAAACAAACACACAAAAAGAAAAAAAGAAAAAAAAGAACTTCTTCCATGAGAGGATGAGATTAGAGAAGAGGAAAGGGTAAGTATTTAAAATCTTAGGGAATTATTTCAAAAGGGAATTACTTAGCATCTTGTTGGTTGCATCCATGTTTTAGGATACCGGATCCATTTTGTTTCAAATTCTTAACAAAGAACTAAGAACCAAATAAAGAGGTAAGAATCAAACAATGGGTGTTAACAAAGAGCTATGAGACCCATTTTCCCTTAACCCATTGTTACATGAAACCCATTTAACCTTGATTGTAATAAAACTTGGGGTTGTTTGGAATTTGTTTATTTAATGTACGTTTTTATTTTTTATAAAAAGTTATATAAAAATAATAAAAAAATCATATGACTCAAATAAGAAATACTTATTTAATGCATTCTCAAATAATCCCGTAGATATTATTTAACAAGAACATAGCCCTATAAATTTTAAATGATTTCTTGACTTGAGTGTTTTTAAAATTTTACATTTAATTTTTTTTGACAAATTGATGAAGGTTAAAATTGGTGTAAATTTAAAAATTGTTAGTAATCATATATATATATATATATAAGCAGTGTTTTTCCTTAAAAAAGTCACATAAGCATGCATTTTTGTTTCGAAAGTGAAATTGGCTTTGGCATGGTTTGGGAAGAGGGTTTGGAGGCTTTTTGGATATCCATAACAAGGAATCCCGTTACAGTTATTGGGATTCTATTGATGCATTTACTTATGCATTTTATTACCAGAATCCCCCTCGGAGCCATTCCTGGTTTCTCCGCATTGTTCCCGACAACCTCAAAAACAATCTGCCCAACTGGTTTCTCGTTTGATGAGATAAGTTCGGGCTCCAGTTAGAAATTTTTCCATAACCTATTCGATAGGCTTTTAATGAATGGCAAATTGCCTACAGTCGTCTTCTAGTATACAAGGACATTTCAATGTCTAAATGTTGTCCAATTTGTCATTCGCTTTGGAATTCCAAGGATATAGAAGTGGGACTTCCAATGTGATTATCAGAATAAAATCCCACGACTCAAAAAGAGTTTTTTTTGTGAAGTGGTGGACAAAGGGGCTTAATGCCCTTAAGCAACAGCAGGAGACTTTACAGAAAATCCATGCTCATACCAAGGCATGCTGGGATGCTGTTCCTAATTTACTCCCAGCAACTTCAGTAATGAAGAATCCTTTTTTACATATTCAAACAGAATTATGACAAAAGTATCCCGATTTGCTCGAACAGGAATTAATTATTAAAAATATGGATTATATGAAGGAACAGTTCCTTCAGTCCCTATCCAGTTATGATACCAGTATGAAATCTGTCTCCAGCAGTTAAGAACCTGATCCAGAAGAAGACCTAGATCAGGATGAAAATGAGTTCACAGTCCTTGCTGGTGAATCTCAAGACCTTGCCGATAATGAACCTAATCTTGGTGATTTTTGGGACTCTTTGACTAGTCTCATTTCAAAAAAAATTGAAACGAAGAAGACATGAAAGGAAAGGAAAGGCTGCATGACCTTGTCTTCCACCATCACTATGTCGGCACAAAATGACAAATTACCAGGATAACAACTTTCGGCAAAAGCAGATTCCTTGTCTGTTATCCAGTCCTACCACCTAGCTATCCAGACAGCTATCCAGTACAGAACAATAAAGATAAGGTGTTGCGTCAGCTGAGGATAAGGACGATTGACTCCACCCATCTAGGACACGTAATTTGTCATCACCCTTATCTTATATTATCTTATCTTTTATGTGTCTATATAAGGGATAACCTCACTCTTGTTGAGGACAAGTTTTTTTTTTCAGAGTGTTTTAAGTCTTAACATAAGTGTGCTCTCTCTCTGTGCATCTTTCCTATTTAATAAAGTTTGCAATTCTGGTTGTAAGTATTTCTTTTTAATCTTTTAATATTTTAATGTATGCCTATAGATAGACTTGTTGAATTACATGATTTATTAACATATTACAATTTGCGTCGTAATTTATGGCTTACTGTTGATAATTGCCATTTACAGATTGTAAGGACACAACAATTACAGAATATTAATAATCAAATACAGTTAATTGAGTAGCAGATCCAGGAGCAGATCTGCTTGTTGGTAACGGCTGTCCGGCCACCTCCTCCTCTACAGTAATTTCATGAGACCATATATGGCATAATTTAAATTTAATATAATAATAATATGAATAGTAGTATTCCTGGGTTTATGCTAGTTGGGGATAGAACTGTGTTAGGTTAAGTGGGACGTCATTCAAGTCGCGTTGAGGCAGACCGGTTAGCAGTGATTGCAGTTAGGTTACATCCTTGTAAGTCGTTGACGCACGTGCTTAGCTTTACCCTGTGTAAGCACCTCTCTTGGTATCAGAGCCAAGGTTAGTACTATTTGTATTACAATTATATTTTATTGAAATTATACATATATGGTCCCCATACAACGTAATGAGTACTGCACCTACAGATAATGCAATTACTACAGTAGCTAATACAATAACTTCTACATTAGAAGCAGCCGAGTTAGTCGCCTAGGATGTAAGGGAAGCCTTAGATAAATGGACTATCCTATAAGATATGAACCTTTGACTTTACCAGTAGAAAAATAATTAAAACCTTTGAACATGTTGTTCCTATACAGAATGATGATATGATTATGTATCTCTTTCACATACAGGACTTATACCCATTTTTACAAGAGTATAAGTATGTCCACATAGGGCTTGATCAAATTGCATTTAAACCCTTGACATTACTTGGGCAAAATACCAGTATCCAATGCACCCTTCGAGACGGAAAATGTCTTGATTTGAGAGCATCCCTTATGGGAGCTATTGAAACTAGCCTTTCTCATAGTCCAGTATATTTCAACATTTATCCAAACCTAAGTATCACACTTATTGACCCTAATCTGTCAAAAGTCCTCAAGCTTAGGATTCTTTCTAATGGATATCAGTATTTTCCAGGATCACCTCCATTTACAGTTATTTCTAGGATTCATTTAAAAGTCTTAACTACTCTGAATCCTTATATCAAAAAATAGAGTGAATTATGACAAACAGTTCTAATTGATACCAACCTTTTCAGTAGCCAAGTTGCTGTTCCAAGATTGATACCTTGGCAGAATATAACTTTTCCAAAAAGATGGCAAATTCCTAATGCCGTTTCAGTTAGACCCATCATTCGCCAATCTTTAGATGATGTTATACAGACACAATGAGGGAATGTATACCTCACTTTCAATAGGCCACATAGGTCATTATCCAGAAGCATGTCTAGAGACAGTTTTAGAACTGTTCCATCTTACAAGGTCGATCTACTTGACCCCTCTAGACAATCTACTTCAGAACCTATCGAGTCTGTATTACAAGAAATGTCATCTAGACCTCCAAGTAATACAAATCTTGATAACGCTACAGATCCTGTTGTTCAAGGAATTCAGTTTTCAGAAAACCAAATACCACACGGGGTATATGAATCCAGAAGGCCTTACAGTCCAATGGCCAGTGACATGAATTTTGAAGTGTAATGGATTTGACGAAACAATAGTAGTATTATTCCCATTTAGAGGACTATCAGAAACTTCAATCTTTTCTTTTATGGTACAAGGAAACTTTTCCTATTCCAGAAGCTCAAATAAATGTTCTTGAAAATATTCAGAAAACTTGGGTTACGACAGATGGCCAAAGTACAACATTTGTTCATCCACCCCCACAGTCATTAGAACTTAAACCTAGTGACACAACA